CCACTCTAGCTTTGAACATTTTGACATTCCTTCCTATGAGACCAATTTAGCCACAAGAACGACGATATTCCGTGAACCATTCGGCGAAACGTTCCACAAAGTAATAGCACACCAATCGGGAACATTCCGCATTTCGGTATACGAGCAGTGTTACACTAATTGAGAATGGCAGGGTGGAGTGGAACAGGGGTTTTGATTTAAGCTGCCGTCCTAGCCAAATTTGCTGTTTCCAGTCTATATTAAGTCTATTATTAATGGTGATGATGGAGGATACTACGGAAGACCTCATAGCCTGCAATTAGTCCGACTAGTTCAGCTTTCCTGAAATGTTCCTTTGTCATAGTTCTGCTTTGATCCTTGGTATTTTTGAAGAGACTATGGAATTTGGGCTTTTGGAATCCTGTCACCTTGTAGTATAGCTGGGCCTAGACTGAGTACTAGGGAGGGGAGATGGTATTGCCCTGTTTTGATGCTTATGACCTACTAAGGAGGAATCTACCAACTCGTTGGCCTATGAAAAGATATAATCCCCCACCATCTTGGGTCACTGAACTGACTCCTTATTTAGTGTAATAGGCTGAATGTGGTCAGTTGACACTTTTGGCCACTCGCAAATATTTATCAATTTGAAAGTTTCAACGTTTTTGGAATACATTTAAAGAGTTTTCTATTTAAGATATATTCTATCAGATCCAAAGGTTATTTAGCGTGAAATAAGGATTACTTATGTTGTATGAGGCTGTAGAGTCAAGCAGTATTAACATTTTTGTTAATTCCATTAATCCAAATTAATTGAACTTGTCTCTGAACAGATTACATGCACTCGGAAACGTCATTGCTTCCTTGTGCGCAAGCGCGACTTCGACGCACATTCTTCATAGGGCGGCATTCATTCTGCCCTATGAAGTCCTGAGCGCACTACCGTGGTCTTTGGACGACAGGCAGGAGAGAGAAGGCGCGCACACAGTGCCATCTCTCTCCTGCACACTCTGACATGTGCATGGCCTTTTTAGGGCCAGACATGATAGGAAGTCCCTCTGGTGGCCGTCTGAGTGACGGCCACTGGAGGTATTCCTATCAATCAATGTAAACACTGTATTTTCTCTGAAAATACAGTGTTTACATTAGATTGCCTACAGGGAGCTATAGATCTCATCTGAACAACTACATTAAGCTGTAGTTGTTCAGATGACTATAGTGTCCCTTTAAAGTTTTACACCAAGCACAATGACCACTTATAGCGCAGTATTTCTATTGATTCTTGTGTATTTTAACCTTGGCTTGTTCTTTGACTATTCTGACTTTTGTATCCATTGATGTTTGACTTGTCTACCATTTACGTACCTCGGCCTGTCCTGGACTCTTTTATATTAACTTTAAATCTTGCCATTCTAAGGTCCAGAAATACGTTTTAGGGTTTCTTTATTTATTTTCATTAACTTGAATGGACCCTCCACTGCCCAAATACAAAATAAATAAAAATGACTGATTAGTAAATATATCCCAATTGAAAACGTGCATGCATTTAATTATGTATTTTTTCATTAGGTGTGTGTGTGTATATGTGTGTGTGTGTGTGTATATGTATGTGTGTGTGTGTGTGTGTATGTATGTATGTATGTATATGTATGTATATATATATATGTATGTATGTATATATATATATATATATATATATATATATATATATATATATATATATATATATAAAAAATCAGCTTGCAAAACCTGCAGTTCTCTTGTCTGCTGCCTTTCCAAGCCCTCCTCTTCTAACACCGCCTCAACTCAGCCACAGACTTCCCAATGCAGCTCAATTAGAAGTCTATTTAAAGGATCACTATAGGGTCAGGAACAAAAACATGTATTCCTGACCCTATAGTGCTAAACCCACCATTTAGGTGGCTTGCCCTCCTCTTAGCTCCCTATAAAAGTATAAAGCTCACCTTTTTCCAGCACCGCGCGGGTCTGCAGGCTCTGGCTCTGCAGTTGCTGGCTCCGCCCCTTTGTGACATCCTCAAAATGGTCGATTGTTAGTCAATCCAGTGCTTTCCCATAGGGGCTAAATGCCGTTTTGGCCAATCAGGACCTCCTCACAGAGATGCATTGAATCCATGCATCTCTATGAGATAAATTCAGCATTTTCATGCAGAGTGTGGGGACGCTGAACATCAGGGCTGCTTACTGTGCAGCCCTGAGCCAGAAAGCCCCTCCAGTGGCCATTTAAGGCAGGTACTCTGGGCAATTGCAGCCTCTTGAGGTCAGCTGGATTGAGCTAATGAAACGAGGAAGTAACATTACCTGTTGTCTGCTTGAAAGCCAAGCGGGTATAACCCAGTTAATTTATAAAAGAGTAAATTTCTATTGAAATATGCACTTTTCGCAAAATCAAGAGGACACACTCTTCACACACCAAAGCTATTCTGGAAGCTAACATTACTTAGGGGTGTGGAGTAAACCTTTAAGTTTTGCATGTTGGGTGTTCGACAATCCTGACAGAATGTCAGTATGTGTATGTAATTTCCTTTAAGGACCACTCCACACCCCAAAAGTGAAGTGCTTTATGGATGAAGAGTAGCCTAGTTTAACCCCAGTTTATAAAAGTGCTGATTTCTGTCAGACAGCCAGGGAGGTTTGCAGACTCCCTCTGTTAGCCACCCTGCGCTAACGGAAGTGGCAGTCACACTCTACTTGAGCGTGCCTGCCTCCCCACTCACCAGCTCTTCAGCCACCAGCTCTTCAGCTCCAGAAATCAGACCAGACGTGGTGCACGCACATGTAGCTGTGTGTGCATGAGCCCCTTGCACATGTGTGCACCATTTCAGAGGCTTCGCAATGAGAAGTTATTTTCCTGTGAATAGACTGCAAGTCTCTTCCGGGAACAAACAGGAGGGCTTGCTAAGGCTGCAGTTAATACGATATGCAGCCTTTGCAAGCTCTTTTAAGATAAACCCCCAATGAACACATGCATTAAAATTAATGCATATATTCATTGGGATATATCTACTAAACAGTGATTTATTTATTTATTTTGTTCCCTGCATGTGGGAAGTGGAGTGATCCTTTAACAAAAAAAGGTTTGGGGTGGGTTGGAAAAAACATTTCCATGCTCCAGTTATCGTGGCTGGCACGTTTATTAATTTGAGGCCTCTGGTAGATCTTCAGATAATGTTCTGCAAACCTAGCAATGCTATTGTGAGAGCAGAAGCAATCAGTGTTTTTCACAGCACCCTGGATATTTTTCTTTGTGACTCCGTCCCACTTTACATTATGTAAGAACAGATCGCACCCCTCAATCCTGTGCCTCTTGCTGAACACTAACATGATGCAGCTTATTTCCAAAACACTCTCTCAGAACATGATTGGTGGTGAGGAACATTGGAAGTGGTCAGTGTCAAATTTAGCTACCTTATCCAGCCTTGTTCTAGCCAAAGCTAATTTTCTTTTAACAGTATATTATGCCACACAATATACTTTTAGCAACATCATGATTTTAAGACAAAGGAGGAAGCTGCCTTTCCTTCCTTTTCATTGTAATGCAGTTCCTATAATGTTGTAATGGTGCAATATCCTGGGGATACATTGCCATAATACAGACCAGGACCGTCGGGCTTGTAATGAGCTTGTCCTGTTGGGGGCCGGAGCAAGCTGTTACTTACCTTTGTAGCAGCTCCGTGCAGCTCCCCAGTTCAGCTCACAGTGTAAGTCTCGCAACACCCGCGGCCGTCAGTGCGGTGCCACAGGTTACCGTGGCAACGCTCCGTGCGGCACGCAGACTGCGAGACTTACACTGTGAGCTGAACGACGGAGCTGACCGGACCTGCTACAAAGGTAAGTAACAGCTTTCTCCCGGCCCCCTCTGCACAGCCCATACCACTGGACCACCAGGGAATGTTACAGCCCCCCTCCCTGGCCAGGTAACAAGCAGGGAGAGGGGACGAAAAAAAAATATTAAATAATAAAAATATTAAAATTAAAAATAATAAAAATGCCCTCCCCCTTCCCAGATAACACACACACTCTGCATTCATACAAACACACAGTGTGTGTGTGTGTGTGTTTGTGTGTATATAATGCAGAGGGTGTGTTTGTATGAGTGTGTGTGTATATATAATGCAGAGGGTGTGTTTGTATGAGTGTGTGATTATAATGCAGAGGATGTGTTTGTATGAGTGTGTGTGTGTATATAATGCACACACCCTGCATTATATACACACACACACACACTCATACAAACAGACACAATGCATTATATACACACACTCATACACACACACTCTGCATTATATACAAACACACATTCTGCATTCATTATATACACACACTGCATTCACACAAACACACACACTCTGCATTCATTACATACACACACTACACACACACACACACACACACTGCATTCATTATATACACACACTGTAAATAAATATTCAATTAATGTAATTTTATTAGGATCTGATTTTATTTAGAAATTTACCAGTAGCTGCTGCATTTCCCACCCTAGGCTTATACTCGAGTCAGTAAGTTTTTTGCCAGTTTTTTGTGGTAAAATTAGGGGCCTCTGCTTATATTCGGGTCGACTCTTACTCGAGTATATACGGTGTATATATAGTTTTTGTATAGTGACTTTGGATCCTTTTACTAATATATAAAAGTTGTAATCTCCGCATGCCAAATTTTGCTAAGTTTTAACTTTGCAGTTATTTACTCCTTGCAATATTTGTTTTATAACCTTTAAAAATGAATTGAAATCCTAGACATATTGGGCATTTTAACAGTCAGAGCTAATTTGTGAATCTATTTTGAGGTTTCTTTAGTTTCACTTGTGTAGATATTAATAATAGGGTTATTCACTAAAGTGATTTTCAAATTTAAAAGGATACTATAGGCATTGAAAGAAATCTGTTTATAGAATTACCAGATTTTACTAATTTCATGACGTAAAGTCATGATTTTATTAAGGACACGGAGGCGAGTATTATGCTATTCTCTTTCTTTTATTCCTCAGCAGCAAGAAAAACTTTATTTTAGAGAAACAATCAACCATGTAAATATGCCCCAAAGGGCTAGTCCTACAATAATACAACCAATCAGCATGCCTTCAGCACTCTCAACTCCCCATGTGACCTTAAGCCACTCCTCTTTCTTGGTGTTGTCGACAAAAAATCCATAGTAAACACATCAACATGAAGGAAAAAAAAGCAAAAAGTCCAGGACCGCCACAGTGAAAAAATCCAGTATTCTCTATAAGCTGTGATCTTCCCGTAGGTCCTGAAGGAAATCCATGCACAACGGTGCCAAACCGGATCATGAAGCTGAAAGGAACAGAGAAACAAACTGGTAAAATATGTTTCTGGACTTTTGAACAGAATTAGACATCGGAATATATGCCACCAAAACCCAGATTATCCTCTAACCAAAACCTGTCAATACCTGTATTATGTTGTAGTAATCTGAACTCGTAACAAACTTATTGACCACTTAGCTATGGGAGGGCACCACTTACCTGCATCGGGTGGGATAATACTCGCCTCCGTGTCCTTAATAAAATCATGACTTTACGTCATGAAATTAGTAAAATCTGGTAATTTTATTTAAGGACACGGAGGCTCATATTATGCTAGTTCAAAGCTGTGACACGACCACCTCTGAAAAATGAGAAACTGGCCGAAAATAAAATTCCTTGAAGGTAGATTCGCGGGACCAATCAGCCGCCCGGAGTAGGTCCTCCAACCTGCAGCCTTTGGAGAATGCCTTAGTCGCCATGGCTCCCCTGACCGAGTGTGCTCCATACACAGAAGTGTCGATGCCTGCTAATTTCATAACCCACTTGACCCAACGAGACAAGGTGACTGTTGAAACAGGATGATACGGATGACGAAGGGCCAGGAATAATTCAGGATATGCAGGATCACGAATCGAAGAAGTCCTGGACTCGTATTCCTTGAGACATGCTACTGGGCAGAGCTTGGAGTTATTTGGAAAGGCCGGGTAGAAAACTGAGGTGATTGATGTCTTCGTACGCCTGGAAATATTAAACGAGACACCTTCGGGGGTGAATGAACGTGCAGAGAAGTCCAACGCACGCACATCCGACACCCGCTTACAGGAGATCAAAGAAAACAGCATCGCCAGCTTTGCTGTGAGTTGTTTCAGTGAGAGATCTTCGTTCCTTGGCCAATTTGCTAGAAACTGGAGGACAAGGTCAACATCCCATGATGAAGAGTATCTAGGTAGTGGTGGGCGTGCAAATCTAATGCCGCGCAGGAGTCGGCATACGAGGAGATGTTTACCAGCCGGGGCACCATCCCACCCTTGGTGGCCTGCGGAAATAGCCGATCGGTACACATTTATCGTGCGATAGGCTAGGCCATGGTCAAACAGAGAAGTGAGAAATCTCAAAACTTGACTTATAGGTGCCGATAAGGGATCCATGTGTTGTTCCATGCACCAACCACTCCATGAATTCCAGGCATGTAAGTAGGATTTCCGTGTTCCAGGAGCCCAAGCTCCCGCCAGAAGGTCAATAGTTGTTTGTGGAACGTCCGGGATGAATCCAAGTCCCCGGAGAGGAGCCATGCCAGTAGTTGGAGGCGTCCTTGTAATAGTAGGGGGTGTGGTTCCCCGTTGGGGTTCAACAAGAGGTCCGGAGAGGTTGGAATCAATCTTGGGTAGTCCATGGACAACTCCATGAGTGTAGGGAACCACGGTTGAGCCGTCCAGAATGGGGCGATGAGAATCATGGAGGTTCGGTAGCGCCTGAGATGTAGAAGCGTCCTCGCAATCAATGAGAAAGGAGGAAAAGCGTACGCTCGTGTGTTCGGCCACTGATGGAGGAAGGCATCTGAAGCCAATGCCTCTGGATCCGGTCTCCAACTGAAGAAACTCGGTAGTTGGGAGTTCAACCGTGAAGCGAAGAGGTCGATCCCTAGTGGGCCCCAGAGTGTTTGAAGTTGCAGGAAAATGGCCCGCTTGAGCCGCCAGTCGCTTGCATCCCGTAGGTATCTGGAATTCCAATCCGCCACCATATTGGACATCCCGGGAATGTGTTCCACCTGAACCGAAATATTGCGATCCAGGCAGAAGTGCCAGAAGTCTTTTGCTAGATCCGCTAACACCACTGACTTCGTACCCCCGAGATGATTGATGTAGCGGACCGCTGACACGTTGTCCATCCGTAAAAGAATGGAACAGTTGGTTGAGATACCTACGAGACTCCGAACTGCAAATGACCCCGCCAAAAGCTCGAGGCAATTGATGTGTAACTCTTGTTCGTCTGGGGACCATTTCCCTCCGGTGGAGATAGGACCGCAACGCGCGCCCCAGCCCAGCAGACTTGCGTCCGATTCCACGACGAAGTCCGGCCTCGTCCCAAAGATTGCTCTTCCGTTCCATGCTTCCATGTGTTGCAGCCACCAATAGAGTTCTTCTTTGGCAGCACAATCGAGAGGCACAGAGTCTGAATAGGAGAGACCTGACCGAAGGTATTTCGCCTTTAGGCGTTGAAGGGCCCTGTAGTGAAGTGGGCCCGGGAAAATGGCCTGGATGGAGGCTGAGAGAAGGCCGATGATCCTGGCCAGTTGCCGTAGCGTTAGTGCAGGGCGAGCCAGTGTCCGGCGGATTTCTTTCTTGATGATCCTGACTTTGGCGATGGTAACAGGAGTGTCCCTTCCACTGAATCGATGGTGAAGCCTAGAAACTCCAAGACTTGGGAGGGTTGTACCACCGACTTGCCCCAGTTGATGAGGAAACCAAGGTTGCCGAGTAATGTCTTTGTCCAAATCAGATGTTCTTGGAGTAAGCGTGGGTCTTGTGCCATCAGCAGCATGTCGTCCAAGTATATAATCAGACGTACTCCTCTGCTGCGTAGGAGAGCGATCACTGGCCGCATGAGCTTCGTGAAGCACCATGGGGCCGAGGAGAGGCCGAAGGGCAAGCATTTGAAACGCCATGTGGTCTCCTCCCATTGGAACTGGAGGAAATGTTGGCAATCCTCGGCCATTGGGATGGTGAGGTATGCGTCCTGCAGATCGAGTTTGACCATCCAATCCTCCAAGAGGAGTAGGTCCCGGAGGGAGTGGATGCCCTCCATTTTGAAATGGTGGTACGCAACAAAGGCGTTCAGGGGACGTAAGTTGATGACCGGACGGACACCCCCGCCTTTCTTGGGCACCACGAACAGGTTGCTTATAAAACCTGAAACCTCTGGATGCGTCTCTATGATTGCACCTTTGTCGGCCAGGGATTGTATCTCCGTTGTGATTAGTGCCCTGTCGTGGATGGAGGAGACTATGTGTCTGGGGGGGGATATCTGGACAGGTGTTTGTACAAATTCTATGGCATAACCCACTACAGTTTGTAGGACCCAAGTATCGGAAGTTAACATTCGCCAGGCATCGATAAAGTGGCCTAACCTGCCCCCCACCAACGTTACTGAAGTTAGTGATGAAGGAAGTAGACTCACCATAAGGGCGTCGGCCATAGGAAACGCTTCTGGATCCACGAGCCTGCCAGGGTCTTCCTCGAACTGGGAAGAATGGAGAGGGCTTCGGTACCTCACTCTGGTAACGTGACTGGAAGGGGCCTCTAGAAACCCGGTACGAGCCCCGGGAAGAACGGCCGGGCAGACGGCCCCGATATCTGCCGGCCCCGCCAAAAACTCTATGGGAGAATACCTTTTTCATATTGGCTTGCGCCTTGTCCAGAGCAGTAAAAGTGCCCACATAGGTACCCAGCTCCTTCACAAAACTATCCCCAAAAAGAAGGCCTTTGGCCTGTGGCCCAGGTTCAGTGATAGCCAAGGCAACTAGCTTTGGTTCGATTTTAATCAATATAGCCTTTCGCCTCTCAGTGGCTAGAGCCACGTTGGCATTTCCCAGAAGACATATGGCTCGCTGTATCCAGCCCCTGATAGCTAGCGGGTCTATGGGAGCACCGCCTGCCAGTGCCGTTTCAACCATATCAAAGATCTTTGCACTGGGTCCGAGGACATCCAGGATCTTATCCTGGCAATGGCGAAGTGCAAAATCGAGACCCTTCTTCGCCTTCCACCCAGTTTTCCCCAGGAACTGGGCAATCTTAGGGTCCACTATAGGGGCGATACATATTAAATCTGGGAGCGTGTGGGCATTCTGCCCGCATCTTACTTCTTGCCACCTTATCAAGGGGTTTCCTGATCCGTGCGGCAATATATTTTGCCACATGGTCCAGCGGGAACCATTCAGTAGATCTTGGGTGCTGCAGACTATCAGGGTCAAACAAAGGTTCGCCCTGTGGGTCAAGGAGGGTGGAGCCTTCCACCCCGTCCTCGTCCTCATTCCCAGACATAGATATAGCGCTGTGGTCGGGGAATAGTGTGCCCAAATTGAATGAGTCCTCATCATCAGACTCGCTCCATGCCTCCTCCTGTTCCGAATCTGACTCGGATGATTCCACTTGGGCTTTTGCCCTTTTCCAACTCCGCACCGATTTTGCCCGGTGGGTGGCTCTTTGTTGTGGTGCAACCACATTATCTTTGACAGGACGTTCCCTGTCTGTCCTTAAAGTTTTGGAGGCTTCCTCGTCCATGTGACGAGCTTTTTTGGTGGCTTTGCGCCCACTGGCCTTGCCTGTAATGTGTTCTGCAGGGTTAGGGGCAATGTGCGTAGAGGCCTGTTGGGCGGCCAAGAGGGCATGGCTAATAGAGTGGGACAGAGTGTCCGACATAGCTCCCATGGCTGAGTAAACAGCTTGGGTAACGGATTTTGTCATAGTGGCATCCAGGAGAGAATGAAGTTCTTCCGAGTTCATTTGCTCCTGGTCTGCCACATCAGTGACAGTTGAGCCAGTCGGTCTGGGGACAACCTGGGGGGCAGGGGGCATATTATCCCTAATGGGGGAATCGCTGGAGGCCATGCCCAAACTCTTACTAGCCTGCATTACGAAATAACCCCTCTGCAGTAGTTGTGGTTAGGACAAGAATATATTATTTATAAGTAAAACAAGAAAAAAGGGGTGAGTGGGGAACCCAAATAAACTAATGGAGTGACTTCCCTGATTTTTTGCAAAAAACTGGGTATTAGCAATGTATCAGTAGGACTGATACAGAAATACCCAAGGCACCATAAATTCACAGACAGAATATGAAAAAGGCAAGCTCACCAAGTGTTCCCTCAGGAATGGCTCCTGGGGACACTGGTGAGCTGCCCAGCAACTGTGCTGTCCAATCAGGACACACTCCCGCCCCCACAGGCACTAAAAAGCCCGGGAACGAAAAAACCGCGGCAAACTGCCAACCGCAAGATGGCCGCCGCGATGCGCACTAGCGATGTGCGCATGCGCGAAACGGCGCCAGCCGCGATTACAGCCGCGAACCGGAGGGGGGGGGGAGGGAGGCCCCCGAGAACAGATCTCAGAGGCGCAAGAAAGACAGACTGGGCGGCAAGAGCCTCCACACGGAGAGCTGCTAGCCGCCCTGACTCAGTAGGTGATAATCCACCTGAAGTGAGTCAGAGATGGGAGGGGAGGGAGGGGTTGGCTCTAGGTGAGGGAAAAAACCTAGAGCCAGTTGGAAAATTAAGTGGAGAGATAGGGCAGAAGCCCAACAGTACACAGAAAACAAACAAATTTAAATAAAACTGCCACAAAATGAATAAATATGAGAAAACACAGCAGCATACAGAGAGAAAAATAAAAATGTACTTGGTTGAGGAAGGCAGCAGCAAGAAAGAGGAGTGGCTTAAGGTCACATGGGGAGTTGAGAGTGCTGAAGGCATGCTGATTGGTTGTATTATTGTAGGACTA